GCTGAGGCCGAGGCAGGCTGAGGCTGAGAGTGAAGCTGAGGCAGGCTGAGGCTGAGGCTGAGGCTGTGGCTGAGGCTGAGGCAAGCTGCGGCTGAGGCAGGCTGAGGCTGAGGCTGAGGCCGAGGCAGTCTGAGGCCGAGGCAAGCCGAGGCAGGCTGAGGCTGAGGCTGAGGCTGATGCTGAGGCAGGCTGAGGCTGAGTCAGGCTGAGGCTGAGGCTGAGGCAGGCTGAGGCTGAGGCAGGCTGAGGCTGAGGCCGAGGCAGGCTCAGGTAGGAATCCTTAGGATCCCCCAGGAATCCTTAGGAATCCCTAGGAATCCCTAGGAATCAGGATTCCTAAGGATGCCTAAGGATGCCTTAGGAATCCCCAGGAATCCTAAGGATTCCATTGGATCCTCAGGCCGTTGCCACTGCGACTGTCATTGCGAATGCGACTGCGACTGCGAGAACAGCAGAATTCTACAACTGTATTCTCACCTGAATCTTAAGGGGAATGCTTCCAGATATGCTTATACTCATCGCTGTTAGGTTGCTTTGCCGGGATATTTTTGCTATGGAAACCGTGACGTTCCCTTACCAAAAATCAATGAACGTCCTGGGGTCTCAGGGTTGGGCTTCTTGTGGAAGGTTTCTTGTGGTCGAGCTCCTACTGTACCAGCAGCCTCCGATCGGCTCTTGAGAAGCCCCCTGCCTTCGAATGCCGCGCCTCCCTCGCCCCTTTTCCCTTGCGCGCGTCGCCGAGGCTCACTGGTGACACCCGCCTCCTCATCCCTCTCTCCACTCCGCAGTTTGCCGGGGCTAGCCGGCAGCTTGCGGGCCCGCGTGTACCCGACAGACCATGGTGGCTCTGCGCTCCACAGACGGGCACAAGCGCCTGCGGTGTGGAAGTAAATCGCCAGCTGGAGGGAGTCAGGATGGGAGGCGGTCTTCTGTTGGCTGCGCGCACAGGCAGGTGGCGTGAGGGGGACGGCCTTCTAAGAAGGTGGGGAGATTTCTTACACGCATGGGCAGTCCTCATTCTTGGAAGGTGTTCGTGGCATATAAGAAACGAAGAAGGCTTCTTGGAAGTATCCAGGCCTTCCGCGGAAGGCCCCTGCCTTCAAAGAAGCCCCGCTCCGCTTTTTTGGATAGCAGCCTCCTACATCTGTGCACGCCGCCACATTTTCTCCGTCGCTTGCCTTTGCTTCTGCGCTCGTTCTTTGCCGCAGGTGCATGCAGCAGACCCAGGAAACGGCTGAATCCAGGAGGGAATAACATAATTAAGTCCGGAGTAAAACCGCGGGAAAGCCGGCGCGGCGATCCACCCTGGGAAGAATTAGCTCCGGAGTTAATCCACGGGAAAGCCGGTGGCAGGATCCACTCTGGAAAAGTGGCGACCCTCACGTGGATGTTGCCTCTTTGGAAGGGCTGCGGCCCTCTGTCGGCTCTGTAGGCCAGTTGTGGTTCGGGCGCCCTGGCCGTTCGGAAAGTGGTGACCCTCACAAGGACGCTGCCCCCCTGAAGCAGCAGGAGCCATGTGCCGGCTCTGTGGGCCAGTTGTCGTTCGGGGGCCCCGGCCCTCAGAAAGTGGCGACCCTCACAAAGATGGTGCCCTGGCGGAGGGGCTGAAGCCCTTCGCTGGGTCTGAAGGCCAGTTGTGGTTCGGGCGCCCTGGCACCTCGGAAAGTGGCGACCTTCACGAGGATGGTGCCGGCTCTGGAGGGGCTGAAGCCCTCGGCCGGCTCTGTGGGCCAGTTGTGGTTCGGGCGCCCTGGCCTTTCTAAAAGTGGGAACCCTCACGAGGATGCTGCCTGGGCGCCCTGCCCCTTCAGAAAGAGGCTACTCTCACGAGGGTGGTGCCCTTCTGCAGGGGCGGGAAGCCTCTGCTGGCTCCGTGGGCCACTTGTGCTTCGCGCATTCATACTTGGGGTCGACGTTGGGGACGTGATTACGACTTCGGGGGAGGAGGGGTGCCGAAAATAATGTTTTATTGCGAAGGCCTTACGGCTGGTGTCGCCGACCCTGAAGGCGGGAACTCCCCCAGGACCCCCGCTGGCGACGCCCCTGGGGCCCCCCCGTGACCCGCCAAGACTCACGTAGGGTGGGGGTATTCTGACCCCGGACCCCGCCTCCTGCCCCCCCCCGTCAGGGAGGAGAGAACGGGGAGGGAATCGACCTAATAACACCTTTTCTTTTCTTTGTTGCTAAATTTCCTTGGGACCGACGACGACGACGACGACGGCAAGGTTTCTTCGCAGACGCCGAAAGGTCGGCGGATGTTATTTCTGGTGCTAACGATGTCGCCAGGGGGGTCACGTTTGCCACTTGGGTTACATCGTCGGATTTCTGGAACCTTCTCCAAACCGAACCTTTCGGATTTCTCGAACCTTCTCAAACCCCTTCGCATCGCCCGAAGACGTGGGCAAGCGGCCAGAGGGGGGACCTCGAGGATTCGGGGTTCGTAACGGAAGAGGCTCGTCACAGAAGGAATTGGGCCGCGCCCGCATGGGAATGCTCGGCAACAAAGGAGTTGCATCAGACTCTATTCGCGCGGGCGATAAGAGGGGCGAGGAGAAGGGTTGGACGGTGGGGAGAAGGATTTTGACGAGATCCCGACGGCCCGACGCCTTCCCTGGGGGAAATCCTTCGTCTCGGATCATTGTTCTATGGTCCTGGGGTTCTGATAGCGCGCCCCAGGTTTCAAAATCGAAGAAGGGCACCGGGATTGATCAAAACAGATCATCAGACATTTGTGTCCTTTGAGCAAGTTGGAGCAGTGCAGAAGCGCTCCTCGCACCTCGCACCTCTATCGGGCGAAGGCCACTATGCACATACACCGATCCTGTCCAGGCCAATCCTGAGCTCAGGATCGGCGCATGTTTCTCCCCGGCCAAGCAAGGAGGGCGTCCGTATGCACCGATCTTTGGCTGAGGATGGGCCTGGCCAGCATCGGTGTACTCTGAGATCCGACGGTGCGGAAAAACACGCAACATCGCAGAAATGTACGACCAGAGCCCAGACCCCATCCTTCTGTGTCATTCGTGGAGTACGGTCGAGATGTGCTGGCGCGATCCTCCGACCCTATCTGCTCCGACCCCATCCAGGAGGCCTCTGGCTGGTTCTGGGGCCAGTTGCTGGTCAGGGGCGGCCAAGAGGGGGGGGATGACTAGGGGGGGAATACCATGGCGGGGGCCATGATATCTCCCCATATCCCACGGCGCCTCTTCTTGTTTCTGTACGTAGCTGGCCCCCCCCTGGGCCGCTTACGTGCCGCCGGCCGTGATTTGCGCCCCCCCCTCTTGGACGCCCCCCTCTTGGACGCTCGCGATGCTGGGCGAGAGCGCTCGGTGGTGAGGTGGGCGCTGCGCGCGCGGGCTGCCGCCCCCGGTGCTCCTCGCCGACCTTCCCGCCCGCTGAAAGGGCGCGGCCCGAGGGGGCCGGCGGCGGGCGGGGTGCCGTGTCCTCCGCCCTGCACATTTTCCTTCTCCTCCTCCTTTTCCTCCTGATCCTCCTCCTCCTCCTCCTCTTCCTCCTCCTCCTCCTCCTCCTCCTCTTCGTGATCCTCCCTCAAGTGCGGCGCAGGCCCCGCAGCAATCTCCGTAATGGGTTTTAGCTCGGCGCCCTAGCCCCGTCCCCGCCTCACCGTGGCACTTGGGTGGCACCGGAACGACCTCATCTTTTTCGAGACGTTCAGCCGGTGGCGAAGTGGGACGAAAGTCAGTCACGCTCGGCAATTTTGTTAAAGTCCTGGCGCCATCATCTACGATATCGGCATCACCCAGCTCCGCTTGGGGAGGGTATGTGCTATTGTCTGGCGGCTTGGGGCTTACGACTTTCTTTGCATCATGTTTCAATTTCGTGGGTAGTTGTCAATCGCGTGGTGGAGGAACACGAAGCTGTTCACAAGTTTGTGGAGGGCATGCGCGACACAGGCTTCGGAGGTTTTCGTGGCTATCAATTCTGTGTTTTCGGCCATCCTGCTTGTGGCGTTAAGGCCATTGAGGTGAACACCAGTGGGGAGGAGGAACATGAGACATCACAAGTTTGTGGTGAGTATACGCGGCGCTGGCTTCGAAGGTATTCGCGGCCATTATGTGTTCTCGTTTATACAGCTTGTGGTCAATAGTTGTGAACACCTCACAACAACGTTTTTATTGACACGGCCAATGGAGTGGCATAATGCATCAATCCCATTTCTTCCTTCCCTTCAACTTCGCTGTGGTATTACAGTTCTGGATAACAGGGGATCGGGACCGTTTGCATCTCGACCTTGCCCAGGCAACGCAGTTTGGAACCACATCTTCGAGTTGTTCTGAGGGGTGGGGCAGAAGGGTCATAATGATAATATGGCTACGCCATCGCCTCACCCTCATTCACTCTTCGTGATCCTCCTCCACCTCCTCCTCCCCCTCCGTAGTCATTTTGGCTCAAGCCACATGGAATCGAACACCAAGTCCCCCCGCCCCCGTGCGGAGGGCAGTGGGCCCAGCCCAGCCCCTACCTTCGTCGAGGCGGCAGACCGTAAAATGGTCAAGGGCCCTGCGCAGGGCCAAACGGCGGCGGCAGGGCCTCTTAGAGAGCTCTCCAGAGGCCCCAAACACGACCCCAGACTGCCGGGTACAGGGCGCCTGGGAAAGCGCGCTTCTAGACATGGCCCCTCTGGGCTTCAAGGAGGTTCCGAAGGGCCTCAGGCTGGCCAACAGAGGCTTCAAATGAGCAGCGGCAGCAGCACACGACGTAGGGGAAGGACTGGAGGTAGTAGGATATCGCGCGCTCTAGCACCCGCCCCCCTCGCCAGTTCCCCCCCCCCGTCCTGTTCCTTATTCCCGCCCCCCCATCCGCTTGCCCCTCCCCCCCGAGCGCCTCCACCACCCCCCATTTCCCCCCCCCCCCCCCTCGTGATTGCGCGAATAAAGAAGGGGGGAGGGGCGGGGGGGGGGGGCGCTCCATTTCGCGGAGGCGAGGAGAAAGAATTTCCCCCGCTCCCCCCTCCTCGCTCGCCCCCCCCTCCTCTTCGCGCCCCTTCCTCCTCGCCCCCCCCTTGCCTCCCGCTCCCTCCTCGGCCCCCGCCATCCCCGCTGCGCGCATGGCGCAGCTGCTGGACAGCAGCGGGGCGTCGGCGGCGGTGGGGAGGAGCCTCGGCCGATGGCTCTGCGGCGGGGACTTCGTGACCACGGAACCAGAGGCCAGTCGGGGCTCGGGGGCCTTTTTTCGTCCTCGTCTTCCTCTTCCTCGTCCTCCACCTCCTTCGTGTCCTTGGGATCCGGGCGTCGAATTTGGTTGAAAGATGTAGGATGCAGATGGAGTTTTGGGCTTCAGTGCTGAGTTGTTCAATGTGTTTCGCAACGGCATTCAGAACCACCCCCTCCCTCCTCCTGTCTGTTCCTGCCTCCCTCCCGCCCCCCTCCACTTCCCTCCTCCGCGACGACGACGACGACGCACCTCGGGGGGAGGTTCCGACTGTTTTCGGTCGCTTTCGAGGCCAAAGTTGGTCTCAATCAGGTGCGTCTTGCCGAAAGTGTTCCTGGCGGGCCAGGGTCGCCCCGAATGGCCGCCAGAGGCCCGTGTTACCGCCCGAAGTTCGTTCGGACCAGGGGCAACAAGGCCGCCCTTGAGGGCTCGAAATTATTCGCACTTCGCGCTTCGCGTTTCGGATCCGATTCCTCTTCATCCTCCTCTTCTCCCCTGGGAGGCGGCGCGAGAGCGCGAAGTTGTTCGCGCAGCGCGAAGCGCGAAGTTGAGAGCCCTTGGGCAATGTTGGGAAGGGAAACCGGTTCAAGGGGGACGTATCGACCCCCTCTCGTCTGCCGAGGCCTCCATAGGGCGTCTTGAGTGTTTCTGGGGGGGCCTCTTGGGGGTCTTTTTGAGCACCCTGGGAGCCATTGGGGCGTTGTTGGTCATCTAGGCCATAATCGGCCCCCCCCCCTGGGAGGCAAACGCGTGACCAACACCTTAGTAAAATCAGTGAGGTGGGCTTCCTCCCCGAGGCCATCTTGGGCGCTCTAACTAACCGTTCCGACTCTTCGACCATATTCTTCCCTCTCCTCTTCGTCGTCGTCTTTCCCCTCCTCTCCTCCTCCAACTCGGCGCGGGCGTTCCTCTGCGTCAGCCGCCCTTGCCACACGTCCAGAGCATCGGTCACAGACCCGGAGGTCTGACATTGTGACAAAAAATTGAGCATCACGAAAGACTTTGGCCAGAGCCCCATGCCCAACCTTTCTGCTGCACTTCTCGAGCCCGATCGGTCCGCGACGGCCCTGGGGCCCGAAGCCAGGCGAAGACGCCCCGTGTGAAAACGCCCGGATCTCAGGCCAGGGCTGGACCTAAACGCTGTTTTGCTGGACTTCAGCTGTGCCGTTTTTTTCCGTTTCGGCAGGGGGGGTGCAGGAAAACACGTGGAGCCAAACGGAGATCAAAGAGAACCCGAAACGGAAAACAACGTTTAGGTCCAGCCCTGTCTCAGGGAGGGCCACAGCTGCCGCCATCCAGCGACCCTTCGGCTTCTCCGCGCCGACAGGCGCCGGAGGAGACGCCGGAGCCTGCGTGGCGCGGCCCGCTCGGCTTCCCCCGCGACTGGCCCGCCGTGTACACCTCCAGCAGGCCGTGGCCGGCGGGCCACCCGCAGGGCCCTCCAGAGGGGGAGGGGGGGGAGGAGAAGGTCCGAGGAGGAGGGGTTAGGAGGAGGAGGAGGAGGAGGAGGAGGAAGATCAGCAGTGTAAATCCAAGAGCCATCAACGATGTTGGAATACAGCCCCCCCTCCCGCCATCAACGATATTGGGCCCTCCAGAGGAGGAGGGGGAGGGAGGAGAAGGTCCGAGGAGGAGGGGTTCGGACGCCGAAAGACCAGGCGGTGCGAGTTTTTAACACTGGGCGTTGACGCTCAGTTTTCTGGCCCTGGGGACATCACAGGTCGATCCACTTCGAGAAACGCAGCACGAGAAGGGGGGTAGAGGTCTCTGGCCGTGATTTTCCGCGGTGTTGCAATTGTTGTCGCAATGTCGGATCTCAGGGAAGGGAGGAGGAGGAGGAGGAGGAGGAGGAGGAGGAGGAGGAGGAGGAGCGGAGGCGGAGGCGGAGGAGGAGGAGGAGGAGGCGGCGGAGGAGGAGGAGGAGGAGGAGGAGGGAGGAGGAGGGAGGAGGGAGGAGGGAGGGGAGGAGGGGGGAGGGGGAGGGGGGAAGGGCAAGCTAGGTGCGCTCGCGTCATATCTGACATCCTACCCCTCCCTCCCATCCCTTACCATGGCGCAGATCCCCTCTCTACTCGCACAGTCGGATGTCGAGCAGGGCAAGGATCCCGAGGTCGGGGAGGAGGAGGCGGCGGAGGAGGAGGAGGCGGAGGAGGAGGAGGAGAAAGAGGAGGGAGGAGGGAGGAGGGAGGAGGGAGGAGGGAGGAGGGAGGAGGGAGGAGGGAGGAGGGGGGAGGGTGGTGGGGCAAGCTAGGTGCGCTCGCGTCATATCTGACATCCTACCCCTCCCTCCCATCCCTTACCATGGCTCAGATCCCCTCTCTACTGGCACAG